GACTCCTAAAATCAATGCAAAAATCATGGTCACTAACGACGGAAACCTTTCAGGGCTCAACTTAGTCTCCGGAACATGCTCATTTTTTAAGAAAAGACAGGGCAAATTGTACGAGATCCAGAGGGCCTAGCATTGTTTAAAAATCACGTTCAGTACTCAGTTAATTTCAGTTAATTTTTGAAACCTCTACTAAGAAAGGGAAGAAGTAACAAATGCTTGACGTGCGCATGCAAACATTCTGAGGTGCTTTTTTCAACAACTAATTGAAATCGTTTTTATGCCGTTAAGCGATGAATAAACAGGTATGGAGTAGAAATGCGCAACAAGGGTTTGGATTGAGCATTCAAACTTTGGCGAAGGCCATACCTTTTTGTGATTTAGGTCTCCGGCGGAGCCATGGGAACCTCACTTTTCCGATTAGTTACTTTTTTGTAACTCATAGTTTCGCTTCTGATCTCAAATTTGTGCATTCTTTGTCATGTAAAGCGCAATATGAAACAGAGCAGATCTTTCTTTCCTTGCTAGCTTCTAAAGCACTTCTCCCTATGAAAAGCGTGCTTCAAACAAACAGCCACACAATACACTATTGCACGCGTTGTAGAGCGAATCTAAACCTGACTTTGAGTATACGAATTCACTCTTACAACATAAAACGGAGACCTTGCGCAGGTCTTGGCTGGAATTTAATAGCAAAACTTCTCAAGTGGCCTGCTGAAAGACAATCGGAGGGACCAACCTGTGGCTTATCAGAGTAATCTGTTATATAATAAGGAAATGAATGTGATGATTTTTGCTCAGACTACCTCTCAAACACAGGGACGCTTCAATTACCCATCATCAATGTCAGAACTCTCGCTGGTTAAAACTGAGGGCAGGCGAGCTCACTGAAAAGACGGCGATTGGATACAGCTTGCATACAAAAGGAATAGAGAGGCTCTAAATCGCGCGAAGTTAGAAGCGTACATGAGCTCTGCAATAATATCAATCAAAACGGAGTAAATATAGCTTTCTCAGAAAGCCTGAGAAGCGAAACTACTAGGGTGAACGATTGATTGATCGAATTATGAGCACTAAAATTGATAGGAAAAAAAGAGAAAAGGGGGGAGCTCCTTCACACAGACACTAACTATGCACCAAATTTGGGCGCAAGGAAGGTCGAAGAAAAATTTTTGGAGTTACAAAGTTCAAGTGGTAATAAAGAAGAAGAAGCATGCATACAGCATAAGATAAAGGCGAGGAATGTATTCTTTAAGCTTTTTTATTGGCGAAACATGCTGCAAAGAGGGCGTATATAAGACGGAAGCAACATAAGTGGCTTTACAAGAATCTTACGAGAACTATAGCGGAGATTGCAAAAGACATAGAGCAATTCTGCCATAAGGACAAGCACAGGAGGCCATCAAGAAGACCATAGTAGATTACTGAAAATTGGCGGTTGTACCTCAAATGAATGTCATATACTGTCAGCACTGACACTGATCCTTCAAAAGACTACTTGGCCTCTTGCTACAGTTAACAATGTATGGCTTGTGAAGAATACATCTAAACAGTAGGGATAGTCTAAAAGCAACGAGCCGGTGGTGCAGGGAGAGGGGGGACACTGTATGTTCATGGTGAGCCAGTCGAGAGAACGAGCTCCTTAAAGTTACAAGGAGGTCGAAACTTTGCAAAGGAGGACTTAAAGACGAGCTGTTGGCCACGATAAGTGCAGCCCTTATAAGATGGGGACCTTCGCAAGAATCCGTGTATGATGCCAAGTAAAATCCCAAATGTACCCGTCCAGTAGAGCTGTATGGCAGTGTGTCGACCCAGAATGCAAAAAGATAGCCCAACCTCAAAGGCGTGGAGCCAAGAATGCCGCGGTTGACATTGGGTTCCACTCTGCTAGATCCTTCTATAATGACATGGATCCAGCTAAGATGGAAGTTGCTCACATCACCAAGGAGGTGCAGGCGATTGCGATGGTGCGGGTGAAGAGAAGAGATGAAAAGCACGTCATAAGAATGGCAACGTCTCCTTCTCAAGAAAGCCGAGAAAAGAGAAGGAAGAAGGCCATAAATATGGTATGTATACAAGATTACGCTGATTTGAGAGAACTTGGTATAAGCGAACGTTATCGATAGAATCTGAAGACCGCTGGCCGTAACAGATTTTTGGGCGGCAAAAGCGTGAGGGAAGAAAATTCAAAATTCTTACCAAAATTTTGACGAATAGAACATTTGGAGGAATATTTACACAGCAGCCTGCCTCAGGCTCCGCCCCTTTTCCTCTCTCGTGCCCTACTGAAAGAAGTTTCTGCGACTGGTAGCTAGTTTTAGACTACCTCTATAGTACTCGCCGGTCACTTTGACTTCTATCGTTTCCTTGACTACCGATTACTGCAGAGTAAACCTTTCTAATGGGGACAAGAATAACAAATAAGAAGCTCAATGTTTAACTATGAAAGCAACGCTTGATGATATGTTCTTTTCGCATTTATTCTTAGAGGTAGAGTTTGAATTATAGAATATTCAGTAGATTACTGAAAACATTGGCTTTCTATTCATTATGCATTCATGGCACCAGCAGCATTTTTAGGAATATGTTTGAATTTGATCTCGACTTAACGCTTAAAGATAAACTAAGCATTTCTGAAAAAAATTTAGCGGAGTTTTTGTACGAGCACATAATCGAGCCACAATTATATTGAACAGATTATACAGCTTAAGGAGCTCAAAGAAAAATTGCAACGAAAGGAGAACTTTCAACAATATAACATTATTCTTGGCCGTCCCACACCGATTCCTCAACTTTTCCTGTCATCTTACCCCTTTCCTCCTTCTCCCACTCTCCATAACAAGAAGATTTAGCTGAACAGCGACATGTACATGTATTGACGGTAGTCTCTCGCGA